ACACCACACCCCACACCATACATCACACATCACACACCACACACCACACATCTACACCACACATTCTATATCCCACACCCACTCTACACATGCGTGCCACAAATCCCACACCACACATCCCACATCCTACAACACATCCCACAGCACACTAGTCTGTATCACAATCCCATTACACACTTTATATTATACCATTCTATACCTGTGCCATCCACACCACTCCACCACACACTATAGCACACACCCACACTATACATTCTACACCCACATCTTCACCGCACACCCACATCACACTCACTCTTCAAGACCGCACATCTACAACACACACCAACACTACAGCCCATATCACACACCACACACACCATCCATTCTATGCAGATTCTGTCCCACGCCACACCCCACCCCACCTCCTTTACATGCCATGTTCTGTACCACACTATTCTAGACCACACATCCCACACCACAGCAGACACGTCTGTCACATCAGTCCATCCCACCTAGTCCCTCGCCTCTAGTTGCCAGAAAATGAGAGCCATGAGCGTGGCAAGTGCCTTAGTTCATCCACCAATATGGGTGCTCTCAAGGACCAGCAGAGAGAAGGCAGACGCTGAACAACTCTCCCTGTCATTCACAGGTGTCGCTTTGTTCCCTTCAAGAGCAGGCTTTCTTGGTGCTAACTGTGAGAATCACAGGTGACAGAGGGCAAAGTCATCCGTGTCTGGGTGTCTGCTGGAATTAAACAGCAGTGCTTAGTGTAGCAAAGCTAGTTGGCTTCTGAGTTTGTTATTTGCTGTGACATGGATTCTCTGAGGACAGAGGTACCCCGGCCTCCCATGATGGACATGGCCACGGGGAGGATCAGACAAGGATAATGTCTAGGAAGAGAAGCATGGCATGGCTTAAATAAAGAAGGTTGAATCCAGAGCTCTTTTATGCCCTGGAATGTGGTTCAGAAGACCACTAGCTGTATCTTAAGCCCTAGAGCAGGAAAGTGGTGTCCTGCGAGACATGCACTGGAGAAGTTCCAGTAGGCTCGGTACAGGTAGCCATGGAGTCTCAGCTAAGGCCAACCAGTTTCAGAACTACTGACCATTCTGTCCCTGGGTCCCAGGTGATTTGTCCTGCACATGCACCACAGCCTGTAGACATACAAGAGGTACAGCACCTCAGGTTGTCCACCTCCTACTTTCTGTGTCTCTCAGACACTTCTCCTCTGCAAACTATCAGTTGACAGTAATAAACTCCCTGAAAGTCCACAGGCTCCAGGCCAAGTTATCAGGGAAGCACTTACAGTGTAGGCTCTCGAATGGGTAGCCTTGGGCTCCTGAAGTCTGGCATGGCCCTTGTGTGTGACAGAAATCTCCACAGGGCTGCTGGCAACTGCTGTGAGTCTTGAAAATCAAGGCAAGAGGGAGCAAATGGCAGACAGTTTTACACAGGGAGTTGAGTGTAGGAGAGGGCCAGGGTCTTGTGTGTGTGAGGGTGAGCTAGGCAGCTAAATTCTGCCTGGTGGATCACGTAGGGTGGCCACTGCAACCACCCACGCCTCCTGAGGCTTCAGCCAGTTTACCTATCACCTGCCAAGGGCAGTTTTCCATTTTGTAAACATCACAAATTTGAGGATGAAGGCCACAAATCATTCCAACCTAGGGCTGACAGCCATGTTGGGTGTGGCACCTGGGGGCAGTTAGGAGACATAGCCCGAAGCCAAGGGACCCTTGAGCCTAGGATTCTTTCCTTTGAGAGCTGCCAGTGTCTGGAACAGGTAACCTTGCTGGGGTCAGAAGAGAGCATGGACATAACCTTTGCCTCAGCCAGCAATGCTAAAGTGATGTGGACTTGGGTATCAGGGACCAATCTTTTGGGCATTTCGAATGGAGCAAGAAGTCAGTGAGCAGTGATTCCGATAGAATACTCCTTACTAGACAGACACATAAGTCTGCACTGAGGCACCTATGCTCATGTCTGGGCTACGGACACGTTATCCTGGTGGTCATTGGCATTCTCAGCACGCACCCCAGCCCGAGCTGCCCCTGTCAGCTGTCTCTTAGGAGCATACACAATGCATTATTTACTCGGCTGTCAGTCCTCCTAGAGACCAATAGGCAGCAGCCACAATACAAGCTTGAGCCTTCAGGAAGGGCTCTGCCATGTCTTGGACACTGTTCCAACCCGCTGACCACACCGTCCTTACTCCTTTCTAGTGAGAGAAACACCCTTCCCCCTCCTGTTGTAGCCTTAGCTGCCAAAGCTGGCTGACTTTCTGAGGAACAGAGACAGTAGGAAGGGCCTGGTGACCTGTCTGAGGCCCCCTTGAGTGGGAGGGAACCTAGTCTAAGACTAGACAAGGTTTCCCAGGGCGTAGATACAAGCCTCCATGGATGGATGCCACTCTGTTGATTAAATGCTTCGACATTGCCGTGTGCCTGCAGCTAATTAGTATGAACAGCACCAAGTGAGCCAGTGAGCAGACAGACCCTGGCAGGCAGCCAGAGACCCAATGTAGCCAGACCCTGCTGCCCTCAGCACCACCCCCATAGAGTTCTCCCACCCCAGGACTGACACAGGCTGGACAGTTGCTAACTGCCTAACCACCCCATAACTTACTTTCCTGCCCAGGCCTCCTCCACCTAACAGAGGTGGTAGCCCTTGATCTGATGTGAAGAGCAGGGTTTTGGTCTGAGCTTTAGGCCCCTTGGGCTGTGTACTCACCATGAGCCCTGCAGAGTAAGGGAGGCAAGCGCACGGATGGGGTTGCTGGCACCGACCACTATGTTGCGCCCTTCTCCCCTCTAGTCTCCATGGCCATCTGGAAGGTCAAGTCCCAAACAGTCACGGTCGAGCTCCTAGGAAGGTTACCTCAGAGTGACGGGGATCTGCAGGCTGACCCACCTGCAAAGACAGTTCATGGTCAGAGTCCAAGGGAGCCTTCTCCCAGCCTGTTACTGACTGGTCAATATCCAGGTATACCCAGGGAACACTCAGTCCCTTCCCAAGTTTGCCCCTTTCTGGATCCTATTAACCTGGCCAGCCTGTTGGAGTCCCTGGCTCAGGCTCCATCTGAGGCATTCAGAGAGGTGGTGACAACCTGGGCTTTGGGACTTGGGAGCAAACCTGGCTCTTGACAGCCAGAAACCATCCCTTAAGTAGTCTCTGCTCACCATTCCCAACATAAGACCGCAACTTGGTCATTTCAGGCTGCACAAGCCTGACCAGCATTATCAGTTGAAATCAAGAGAATCAAATAAACCTGAATACATCTTTCAGTGCCCGGGCAGACCTGGCAGGCAAAAGCTTCTGCTGCCGGATGTGGCTAGACCTTGAGGGCTGGTGTCTCCCGCATGGGCATTCTTGCTGGCTGGAACTACGTGGTCTTGCTAGGGCTCCAAGCTCTAGACTTACCCAAAGTTATTCAGAATCCACCTTCCCAACAGCAAGAGTGGCTGAACCCCTCACAGCATTTCTGCTCCAGAAATGGCCCTCATGAGTGGACACTGTGGCCGGCCAGTAGCTTGGGCACAAGCCCTACCCCTCCCTTTCCCTTCTCAGACACCAGGAGGAAGCCACCCAACTTCTCACCTATTTTGGTAAAGGCAGCTGAAGAGGCACAGGTCTCCCGCTTCTCACAGGCAAGATGTGGCATGTCCCTCGTGCTAGGGAACAGCTTTCTATGACGAAAGGCATTAGATTGGAGCTTATGAGTGGAGTTATCAACAGATTGCAGGGCTGCAGCCTGGCGACTGGCTGTGGCCAGAGCACTGCGCTGGGGACGGAGCTCTGCACCCGGAGGGAGTGAGTCAGAACCGAGAAGAGCAGGCATCCAATGCGCTCTCTGCAGGCAGTTTCCAGCTCTGGGTTGGGGGACGCCAGCCGCCTGCGCGCCTGATTTCTGCAGCAACAGCCAGGGGAGTGAAGGACCAGCCGGGAAGCAGGAGCTGTAACCATGGGGACTGGGGGAGGCGCGGACCGCGGCAGCGCCGTGCCCTGGCTCCCTGCGGCAGAGCGGGAATGGTTCTTCCCAGCCCGGCGGCCGGCTGCCCGTCACACTGCAGAGTCGATTTAAAGAGACAACCGACCAGGGTTTGCTGCTTGCTTCCAACCGATTCAGACAACTCACATTAAAGCATTTTCCCCCAAAGGAGGACAGGATGATGTTATTTCATTTTAAAAAGAGATCCCTGTCTCTCGAGGGCTCCAGGAACAGGAAGGTGAAAACGGAAATTGATTTTGGAAGAATCTTCACAATCCCTGTATTAAAATATTGTTCAAAACCAAATATTCCGAAACTGAGGTGAAGACTGTCTGAGCATGAGTCAGCAGGGCTGGTCCTGTGTGTGGACAGGGCTTGGCGGGGCAAAAAGTGTCTTCCCTAACCCCAGTGTTGAACCCCTTCTCCAAGCCTGGGCCAAAGGACTGAATGTTGAGAAGCAAAGTGAATAGAGGTGTGTGTCAGGGGCCAGAGCAGTAGCTCATCTGTCCTGGGATGGCCTGGCCCAGACTGGCTGCCTGAGTGGAAGGCCAGGATCAGGTCAAGATTTTTCACAAGGTTTATCCCCTTGGCAAATGTTGGCATGACATTGTGATTGGGGGGACACCCGTTTGGGAGCCATTCCCTTTCCCCCATCTGACTCCTTTGCTTTAGCCCTCAGGCCCACTCAGCTACTTAACATCTTTCAGGTCCTGTAAAAGCTAGTGCCTACTCTAGGAGGATCCTAGGTTCTTGCTACCCTGGAGTATAAAGGGTTGGAAGCTAGAGTTCCTGGGGAGGGGGAGATAGTTAAGAATCATAAAGATAGAATTGGACCCAGGGACATAGTAATTTTTGTTTCAGAAGTCCTGTGGCGTGTAACCTCTGGGTGAGGTGTGGCAAGCTGTCCTGTCCCAGGGCTCAGTAGGAACATTGAGCCCTGAACTTCAGGTAAAGGACTCGACCCTGAGAGATTCTGTTTGCTCAGCACCCTGTGAGTCATGGAGACCTCCATGTGTTCTGAACCCCCAGAGTCTCTTCTCCAGGGACTGGAGGCCAGCCAAGATCCCTGATGGATCCTGGATGATAGTCTTAGTCAGGGGGTAAGGAAGGAGGAAGAAAGGAGAGTAGGAAGTGTGTCGGGGGAGGCGGCTCTGGATCAGAGTAGGCTCTCACACCGGTCTTCTGCTCAGAGCTCCAGGTCCATCACAGGGGGCCAGGCCCTCAGCAGAAGAGCCCTGGCTGCTGGTCCCTGGACTCTACGTACTGCTTGAACGATGTTTCTCAGCTTCTTCCTGGAGTGGCCAGAAGGAGTCAATCTCCTTGTATTGTGTAGCTGAAGTCTCCAGAAACAAAGACCAGGATGTGGTTTTATGAATACTTGGGCTCTAGACTAGTGGCTTCCACCCATTCATAAGTGTCACACATGCCGCTCTACATTCATGCCAGGGCCTAGGTTTGGAGCTGCCCACGGATGGCGTCACTTCAGACTCAATCTCTGGGGTAGCACTGGAGACAGAGGTGCCATGATGACTTACATGGTGAGCCATGTTTTATATCAGTGGTCCTCAACCTTCTTAATGCTTCAACAGTTCCTCATGTTGTGGTGACCCCCAACTATAAAATTATTTTTGTTGCTACCTTATAACTGTAATCTTGCTACTGTTATGAATCGCAGTGTAAATATCTGTGTTTTCCTATGGTCTTAGGCGATCTCCGTGAAAGGGTTGTTCAACCCTAAGGTTGAAAACCCCCAGGTTGAGAATCCCTGTTCTATATCAACACAGAGTAGTTCTTTGATGGTATGGGGAAACTGAGGCATGGCATAGTCAGGTATATTGCTGGTTGCCACCCAGCCTTTGCTGCTGTCCTGGGAGAGCCCCTGTCCTATTTGATAGACAGGCCACACTTGCTTCTTACTGGAAGCATAGCTGGCTGTGGGCTGCCTTTTCTACACAAGAAGACCTGACAGTGTGGCTCAAGTCTCAGATCTCATATCTCTCAACACTGGGAGTAATGCAAAATGACCCTGCAGTTAGCAACCTGGCCATGCACAAGGTTCCAAGAGGCCTGAGCCCTTTTTCTCCTCCTCTGGGCATCCCCAACTGGATGGATTCAGTGTTGCTTTGGGACACAGCCTGACCTCTGAGCACCATGGAGACAGCCATCTCAGAATACCAGCTAACTCTCCAAGCTGGTCAAAGAGAGCACAGGAAAAGATCAAGGCTGGGACAAGGCAATGAAATAACCCATCACCCGAGGCCACTAGGATGCAGGCAACAAGGACCCACCCTTACCAAGGACAGGTAAAATGCCTCCACACTGGGAAATGCCAATTTCTGCCCACAGCGTGGGTCTTTGCTTAGAGCACATTCTGTTTACAGAAGTTTCCCAAGTCCAGTCCTTGTGGAGATGCCAGGAGAGGATGAGAGCTTCTGCATCTATGACAGTCACATGAGCAGTGGTGTCTGGCAAGGAGGTGGCTCATGGGACAGCAGGACGATGGGGTAGAGATGACTGCCGGGAAGTCTCCAGCACATGCTGATACTTTGTCCTTGGGGATTTCATCTCAAGAAGACTTCTGTTATAGTCTTCAGCCCTGTTCATTGCCAGGCAGGTTATCCTACCTCGTCATCAGGGTCATCTTCCTCACGTGTAGTAAACAGGAAGTGACCCTTAACATTCACACCATTTACAAAGTTCCCTCTGTAAATCTCCATGTGTTTGGCTGAGACAGAATAGTCCCTGTAGACACACAGCATGAAACATCCCATCATGGCCAGATTCATAAAGGGCCAGACAACATCTCTCTTAGGCTCCATGGGCTAGGTCCTCCTAACAGCACCCCACCTTGCTGGCGCAGACAGGTCCTCAGCAAAAGGCTGGCTGGATGCCAACATTGGAGAAATCACATAGTTCTCACATGCCATGAAATGTTATTTTTACTTTCCCCAACCTTTTAAAAGTGCAAGAAAGAATGTCCTGTTTATAGGTTGTATGTGACAAGCTGTTGTTGTATTGGCTCTGGGGCCATTATCCCAGGCACCTTGTCTTCAGGACTTGGTTAGATCTAGGTTCTCACCACCGCTGGCACAAGGCTGTGCCTAGCTTCTTAACTGATTCCTGATACAAATCTTACCCACAGACACTCTCTCCAAAAGAAGTATCAGCTAACAGCAAAGGTACAGAGGGCTCTGAAAAGGTGTAGCATGTTTAAAGCATAGTCCTCGGTCTCCCCAGCAGATGGACGGCTCAGTTCTCCAACTGCCCTCAGGTTCTGCCTCTCTTCTACAGAGGTCATTTTTTTGTATTGTGAAGAGATCATCCAGCTAGTCTGATGGACTGAACTGGTGGCTCCGGCCTCCTCTGAAGTGTTAGGATCGCATTCAAAGCTGTGGCCTTCCCAGCAGCCTTTGAACTTGACTTACTGATGCTGTAGAGATGTGGATGCTGACTACAGGCAGCTGTGGGCTTGTTAATACTTCCTGGTTAGGGACAGAGTCTATATGGGTTACAGCCTACTCCATGCTCAGAAGAAGCAAGGTTGGCTGTCCTGCAGCACCTAAGGGGGAAAGTTCCAAGCATCCAGAAACCAGGGCCACAGGAATCCAGGCTTCTCTCTGTATTGCTTGGCTTCAGGAATCCTCAAGCTGGTTGTGGGAGAACAGGAAACAATCTGATGAGGAGGCTGAGATTGAGACACACACCTGGTTATTGGAATCAAGACTGACTGACTGACTGTCTTCCCTCTCTTGGAAGGGCTGAGCCTACCAAGGACACAGCAAGATACTTGTGAGAAACACTTCACCTTAGAATAAGGATGGCCTTGGATGGCTGGTAGTGCCCTGGCTACATGCACCTCTTCTGAGTACTTGAGTCTTCAGAGCTAAAGGCTTCCCAGTCATTTAGTGGAGACCAAGAAATCAAAACAGGAAACCTAAAGATGTGGAAATGGTGGCCTCTGGGAGATGCAGACTGGCCCTGGAGGGGGACAGAGGGGTGCCCTGGCCTCTCTGTGTGCAGCATCTGGGCTGCAGAACAGAATTTAAAAAGCTCTTGGGTTGCTGTGGAAACCAGCCATATTCCCATCCCCTAACCCCCCACAGCATCAGTTTGAATCTGTACAGACCATTCTTAACAGATTCAAACCAACAAACTCATCCTTACCTCAAGGGAAGCTGAATTTGAGAAGCAAATAATAAAATTACCAAACTTACAGTATTCTGATGCTGCTGGATCTTTAACAAAGCACTGTTTGACCCTGGAGAGGCCCAGGGTCAGTCCAGTCCCCTATCACAGCCTTGTGGAGGACAGGAGCTAATGTGTACCCTCTGCTTGGTAACAGATGTTTTGGCTTGTCACATGAGCCCAGAAGGCCTCCTGGGCAGACACAGGCCCCTGGCTTGTCCAGACTGCAGTGAAGAGAGTTCAGGCCCTGTTGGTCTGGGAGTTGTGAAGACTGCACCCAAGTGCTGGGTGCCTCACTGAGCTTCAATTCCTGGACCTCAGTCCCTTCCTCTTTCTTCCAAAGGCCACTTTCTTTGAGGTTTAGAAAGCTGTGGGCACAAGGAGGGAGGCATCTATAAGCCTGCTCAGTGGAGAACCTGCCTCATGTCTCCAAGATCATAGAGTAAGTCCTGGGACATGCGAAGTTTCTCTCGGCTTCTGTCAACTCTGTGGTAGATCCCAGCAGAGATATATGGCCTTTTGTCCATCAAGCCTGCCCACACTCTAGACAGAGGTCCTGGGACACTGGGCACAGGAACAGAGGCTAGGCATGTGTGGAAAGTTTGCTCATTCTGTAGGCACTAGAGAGCTATGGAATGATGTATCTGAGGGAGAGAGTAAGAGGCAGGTTTGTTCTTAGTTGTCATGGTGATGGGCGATATGATACAACTTTGTGGCTCTCAGAGCTCTCATTTTATCCCTCGAGGCCTCATAAGCTTCAGACATAGCCTTCTGAAAC